GGCAACTGCAATTGAGGGATACAATTATGGACTCAAAATTTATGTTGCATGTAAAATTCACCACAACTTTTCAAGGAGACTTGACCTTCTAACTTTAATGGTCCAAAGTGCAATTACATCTCTTTGTTATCTTGAATGGCTTACTGTGTACTGCAAAGTAATTGATTAGATTCCAAAAGTTGAAAAGATGTTTTTCTAACTTTTTGTTTTGAAATGAGAATTTTATTACCTGTTCAACGAGTGCAAGAGGATTATAAGAGAGAAAAATCTTTTTAGGGAGAAAGAAGCCCCTTTATAGCATGTCACATAATCTGCTATAGCTCAGGTTTTGCTGTTCTGCAGCTATCAAAGAGAACTTTTGAAATTCTGAGTTTGTGAGATCAATGTTTTCTCCTTCTCTTCAGCTCAGTAATTACTCATCCATGGAAGGTGTTCTATATTGCAAACCTCATTTTGAACAACTCTTTAGAGAGGCAGGCAACTTTAACAAGAATTTTCAGTCACGTAAGCCTACATTCTTGGTTATAGTTGCATAGAGTGCTGCTTCCATTCTGTTTTTTTCTGATTTTAAGGATTGCTCATATTGACAGCTGCAAAATCCTCAGAGAAGTTAACTCCAGAGTTTGTGAGTTCGTTATCATATTCCGTTGTCTTACTTTGTGAACATATTCTTTTGGGACCTCAATTACTTAAACATTTTCTATCATTTTCTCAGACGAGATCTCCTAGCAAAGCTGCTGGCATGTTCTCAGGAACACAAGAAAAGTGTGCCATTTGTTCAAAGACAGTATATCCCCTTGAAAAGGTTGGGTCCTTTTTTCATTACTTATAATATAATCTTAATTTAAAAAGAAATGCATGAATATTCCTAGTGCTTCTTCATTTCTAATTCGATGATGCTTTAAGCTTATTGGTGAACCAAAGTTTTACCTGGCAATCATTTTGAAAATATCGTGGAATATTGTTATGTAAATGGAAAATAATGAAAATTTTAAAATTCTCAAACATAACTAACAGAAGCTTGAAGCGGAGGTTTTCACTTTCAGTCTTCAAACCGGTTCTTCAAAAAAATTAATCTGCTGTATATTGCCGTCCACATTCTCTCCTTCAAATATGCTATTTAATTTCCATCTAGTATTATTTTTCATTGGTCATGTTGTATTGTTTTTGGCCAATGTTGTTTGATACAAAATATTCTTATAGTGTTTTCATCAAGTTGAACAAGTTCCTCTGCATATGTATTTTATTTCATCTTTTTAAACTCATGAATACCTCTGTATGTCCTATGACTTAAGACCTTGTGCTTGTTACTTTGGAACGTGGTTCCCATAGTTAGGAAGCCTCTGAAAAGTTGGGTCTTCTTCTGCACAAATCCTAATTGTAATATTTCACATTTTTT